TATGTATGTATGTATGTATGTATGTATGTATGTATGTATGTATGTATGTATGTATGTATGTATGTATGTATTTGTGCATGTATTTGTGTATGTGTATGTGTTTGTGTATGTATGCATGCATATGTGTTACAGATCACACGGCAAAGAAGTCTTCCCAAGATCACTTTATCAAAAAGATCGTCTTGGTCAGGGTAAAGAAAACATGACAGAAAACTGACAAACAACAGTGCAAAGCCGGTGCGAAACCAGCCCAAGAGCTTTCCAAATCTGCCGATTCCTTTGGAAAGTGTTAATATAAAGAAATTTTATATCCCAATACTATTGGTATATCAAATTGTGATTCGTCTATTATTCACATATACAAAATATTTTCAACAGTAGGCTATATTTCAACAGTGGACTATTGCTTCTATGCTATCGAAATCAATGATAATTTCCACAAAATAATTATTAGTGATAAATAAAAAAAAATAATATTAATCTACGTTTTCTACAACAACAACAAAATAAAATACAAAACGTGGTACACGATGTCATCGACATCTCTCTCTCTCTCTCTCTCTCTCTCTCTCTCTCTCTCTCTCTCTCTCTCTCTCTCTCTCTCTCTCTCTCTCTCTCTCTCTCTCTCTCTCTCTAAAATACTGATAAGTATGAAGAATGAGAGAGAAAAAGAAAACTGAACTTGCACTTATTAACATACCTTAACTTCATAACAGTTGGGTGTACATTTTGCATGGGGATTTTAATACAATGTTTACAGTACCAATGATACAAAGCTGAGATAGCCTGAAGTACGGCACATTTCTTTTTAGGAAAAACACACACAATGTAATTTATTTATGGTGTGTTTGTGGGGTTTTTTTTATATTTTACCGTTAGTTATGGCCCGTCACTCCTGCTGAAGTATAGGCCGCCCATATATGATCCACAGAGACTTCTGTCCAATGCCATCCATTCGAGCAGACTCCAGGTGTGACCCAGCTTAGTGATATCCGCCTCAAGGTTACGTCGCCACCTGTTTCTTGGTCGACCCCTTCTCCGCCTGCCTCGAGGGTTCAACTTCAATGCCTGTTGGTTGGTGTCTTACGTAGGGTGTGTCCTATTATTATCATTCTATTCATGATCATCGATCCTCTACTGGAATCATATAGGTTCTGCCACAGGTTGGCAATGCTGGTGGAGTCCGGCTAGCAGATCTGGAGAATTTTCTTAGGCAACTGTTGATGAAGGTCTGGACTTTCTTTATGGTTGACTTGGTGGTTCTCCAGGTCTCTGCTCCATACAGTAGGACTGACTTCAAGTTGGATTTGAACAGTCTGGTCTTGGTAGTCAAGGAAATTTCCTTGGAGCTCCAGATGTTCTTGAGCTGTATGAAAACTGCTCTCTCCTTTCCAATCCCTGTCCTTGACATCCGCATCTGTGCCACCCTGCTGGTTGATAATGTTGCCCAGGTACGTGTAGGACTCTACCTCTTTCAGGGGACTTCCATGCAATGTGGCTGCCAGTATGTTGTTCTTGTCCTGCATTTGTTGCTGACTGTGATACAAGAGCGCTATGTCATCGACAAAGTCCAGGTCCTCAAGTTGACTCCACAGTATCCACTGGATACCATTTCTCCGCCCCTTGGTGGACGTCTTCATAATCCAGTTGATGATGAAAAGAAAGAGAAACGGCGACACCAAGCAGCTTTAACTCACGCCAGTCCTTACTTGGAAGCTGTCTGTGTGATGTCCTGCATGGATATCTCTACAGGTCATTCCGTTGTAAGTAATGTTGATCATGTTCACCAGTTTGGATTTTGAGCAATGTTATGGCTGAAATCTATTCTTTTTACTGGTGCTTCATGAGGCCTAGTACTTCTTGGCATGATGATATTACATTCTGCCATCTGCCATTTTCTTCCTCATCTTCCAATAGCTCTTGTAGCACTTGGTACCTTTTGTTAAAAGTCAGTCTGTATTCTTCTTTAGTTTTTGTATCTTTCAACAACTGATGTTGTACTATATTCTCTTCTCTTTTGTGCCCATCCAGTTGTTCTTCAGTTTAAGGTTCAGCCTTGCGACAACTAAGTGGTGCTTAGATGCCACATCTGCTCACCATTTCCTCCTCACATTTTGCAGGGTTCTTCTGAACTTCTTGGCTATGCAGACGTGGTCAATCTAATTTTCGGTCACATGGTCTGGTGATATCCATGTGTACTTGTGGATTATCTGCTGGGTAAAGATGGTAATCCCGATGACCAGGTTGTTCAGTGCACAAAGGTCTGAGAATCTCTCTCCATTTTCGTTCATCTCCCCCAGGCCATGGATCCCCATGGCCTGTTCAAACCCTGTGTTGTATGACCCAGCTTTGGCATTGAAATCACCCATGAGGATGTTTATGTGTTTGTCTGGGAAGTTCTCTATTATGTTTCTGTAGTCTGTTGTAAAACTGATCCTTCTCTTTTCCTTTGGCGCCATTTGTTGGAGTGTAGCACTGCATGACGTTTATCTTTATTTTCTCCTTCTTGGTCTTAAATGTTGCCATGAGGATTCTGGGTCCATGTGGTTCCCCTCCTATCAATACATTATGTGCATGCTTCTTCATCATGAGCCCCATCCCCTGCATATGAGGCGCGTCATCTTGCTCATGTCCTGAATAGAGTAGTGTCTCTCCTGTCATCAGTCTTCTTTGTTCAGACTGGGTCTATCTTGTCTCACTAATGCCCAGTAGGGATATGTTGTAATTCATCATCTCTGCTGCTACCTGTACTGTTTTTCCTGCCTCATGCATTGTCCTCACGTTCCATGTTGCTATGGTAATTATACTGTTTGATAGATTGGTGGTCTGCTTTATGGCTTTCGCAGTGTCGCGTCTTTCACCACACAGCATCATAGGTCTTCCAGAAGAAGACCCTTCCTATTTCATGCTTTCAGTTTCTGGTTTTCTTCTGTTGACGTCTATATGTAGCAAGTTGGATTTTACAAGGTCGAGTTGCTATCACAACGTTCAACCCTCCTCCTTATATATCCGGGTTTAGGACTAGCAGTGGCGGAAATATATTTTACGTAGCTTTAACGATTTTAGTCATATTGTCTGCAGTGTGCAGTTTATACTCATGTCTAGCACTCTGGCATCATGCGCAGACATGAAGCATCATGCCCCACTCATTCACATTATTCTGACACCCGACCGATAAGTATTAACCTTAACATCTTTTTTCTTCCTATTTTATAAACTCAATTAATAAGGTTCTAAACACAGAATATTTAAAAGTTCAAAGTCCAAAGGCCGCACCCTACCCCCTCCCCAGAGCTTTTCTCTCTCACGGGTAAGTAGGACAGCAGACTAATCAACAAAGGAAAAAATAGGGATTGGCAACAATATATAAATGCCTTTTGGTAAGTCTCCTCCCACCACCATTTCTCTCTCTCTCTCTCTCTCTCTCTCTCTCTCTCTCTCTCTCTCTCTCTCTCTCTCTCTCTCTCTCTCTCTCTCTCTCTCTCTCTCTCTCTCTCTCTCTCTCTCTCACACACACACACACACACACACACACACACACACGTCGGATTTTCACCTGTGACATGAGAGAATAAATAGTCACACGGAACAACTAAAAGGAAAAAGATATAAATGGGGGATACAAATAATCGAATGGTCAGAAGCAATGTTAATTAAATAATTATAATAACTTAGCTGTAAACACAGTTAAAGGTGTGAATTACCTGTTGTTCGCTATTTCGCCAAGTTTATATTCCTGACTCGTTTAAATATACTCACTGTTAAGTGAATGCCTGCGCGTTGAGTGTTTAAGTAGCTATTTGCTTCATTTAAACCATCTTTCATATTTAAATCATAAGTGGTTTGTTTTAAATAGTTATTTATTCAATATGAATGAAAATAGAAGCTTAAACAGTTAACGAAGCAAATGTCGATTCGCAAAAGCAGTTAACGAAGTAAATGTCAGTTCGCAAATGCTATCGTCGTTAGCAGCAAAGGGTAGAGAACGGCAGACATACTAAGCAGGGATGTGCATGGTCCATTCATTTCTTCAACAGTTTCCTGTAGTCAATATTAAATACGCTGGAATTACAAGCATGTTATATAAATAAAATATATGTGTAGTGTGTACGCTATATCTTTGATATATCATTCGTTGAATAACTTTTAATTTAAAGGAAACTCTGCAAGTCTCATTGCATTAATTAAAAATGTACAATATGAATCAGGCTGTCTTCACACAATACTTTAAAAGTTTGTAAAAATATTGAATCGGTTCTGCTTTGTTTTTTTTTTGGGGGGGTGGAGAATGTTACCTATAGCTTTCTTTGTAATTATTATAATTTTTCTTAACAAATTCAGTGATCTACACTAAGAAATTTGTAAAATCAATGCAATTGTATTCTAAAACTTGCATGAATATTGGCGACCTCTGCTGAAATTTCATTAGTTCTTGGATTCTCATGAATTAAACATTAAGCCCGTTCTTGCCATTGGGACCCACAGCAAGACCATGTACTCTGAATGAATGATCCAATCAAAGTTTCTTTCTCAAACAATCTTGAATATATTGATAAAGCAGACACTTTCTTTGATGTCTGAGAGATTATTATATTATGCTGCCAATTACGTAGTTTATGGTTAGGCCTACTCATAAAAATCAAGGAAATCTAAGCACCGGCAGTCACGGGTGATAAAGAAGCACACCTGATTGCCGCCTGTGGCTTGTGATGATCATTTTCAGCCAGAAACATGAAATCACAGTGAAAATGAAGGTGGGATGTGTGATATGGAATTTTAACCTAGTTTTAACAACGTTTCAGTGACATCGCTAAGATGTCTGCAGTGTGGAAGTTTGTAGTGATGTCTAGCACTGAGGCATCACGCCGCAGATATGTGGTTTGGTGTCCCACCCAGTCGCATTATTTTGACACCAGGCCGAAAAGTCCTAACACTAACCTCTTAATGCTGAACGCCAAGCGAGGCAGCTGTTAGTACCATTTTTTAAAAAGTCTTTATTATGACTCGGTCGGGGTTCGAACCCGCGACTTCCCGTATTCGAGGCAGACGCTCTAACCACTAGGCCACCGGAGCGGTCAGTGCAAATGTATAGAGAAGTCACTATGTTTTATGTTAGTTTTATTTATATTATATTTTATACTCTTTTTTAAAGGTTTAGAATGTTATTGCTAGTTTGCCTTATCCATGATGAAACTGGAATATCAGAATTATTATGAAATTGCTAATACGTGTATACAAATAAAATAAAGAAATCAAAACAGATTATGTCGTTGGCTATGCTATCAAAATTACTTTATGGAGCTTTCTGAACATGATTCATAATCTAGGAAAAAAAATTGTGCACGTTTACTTATATAATTTTTCTACATTGTGATATAATCAATTACAAATTGTGTGTGTGTGTGTGTGTGAGAGAGAGAGAGAGAGAGAGAGAGAGAGAGAGAGAGAGAGAGAGAGAGAGAGAGAGAGAGAGAGAGAGAGAGAGAGAGAGATTTTTTAGAAATTGAATATTTGTACATCACATTTTATAATTATTTGGAATAAAAAATTCTCCTATTCTGACATACTGTATGTTGCTTTATATACTACAGTTTTTTCTTACTCCAATGAGAAAGTTTCTATGAGGCGTGCTGCTCCAGTAACTTGTAAATTTATGGTTTTCTTTTGCTTTATCACAATCTACATGATCAACCTAAATCATACGGCTGATGAAAGTTCACTCTATAGATTGTCAAAAGAATAATATATAGACAGTTTGGACCATTAAACTCCAGCGATGTAGAGGTGCAGTCATTTGATATTTTTTTAAATCTTGTTTTTTTTTTCTTCTGTTTTTCTTCACTCTTCCCTGATTCGGTGATGGGTGGCATACTTGTGGATGCTTGCAGAACTTTATTTTGGTCATTGGTTTGACCACGTATAATGGATTTGTTGGGAAGTTGTAGCAGTCATTGTTTGATTTTTTTGTGTCCATGCTGTATTGTTGTCATCGTTGTTTAATTGTGATTTTCATTGGCTGTGTCGAGGGTTTTAAGGCGCCACACTTTACATATCACTCTTTTTTTCTCTCTCTCCGCCTGGGTTCCAGTCTCGTCCCGGTCAACTTAGATATGTGAGATAGCTTGCCAGTAGCATCCTGTAGGTCTGTGATATTATGTATTATATTATAATACCAGAGAAACCGCTCCTGTGACCTAGTGGTTATAGCGTCCGCCTCGGATGCGGGAGGTTGTGGGTTCGATCCCCGGTCGAGTCATACCAAAAACTTACAAAAATGGTACTAACAGCTACCTCGCTTGGCGTTCAGCATTAAGAGGTTAGTGTTGACTGGTTGGCCTGGTGTCAGGATAATGTGACTGGGTGGGACAGGGGCCCCTAGTGGCCGAGTGATCTAAAGCGCTGTCGTTACGGATCACTGCCATCTCACCTCTGTCTGCGTGTGTTCGAGTCTAGGATTCGGCTAATGTAGATATGTGAGAAAGCTTGCCAGTAGCTTCTCGTGGGTCGGTGGTTCTTTCCGGTGATTTCACGGTTTCTTCCTCCACCATTAATACTGGCTGCCATGAATAACCTATATTGTGCTGAAAAATGGCGTTAAGCCCAACAACAACAACAACTTGGTGGGACATCATGCTTCATGTCTGCGGCATGATGCCCCAGTGCTAGACATCGCTATAAACTGCTAACCAACCGACGTTGTAGCGATATGACTGAAAAATTATTCAAGCTACGTTAAAAATCATAATCACATCACATCACCTATAATACCCGGGGTAGTATAGCCTTCCTTCCATAAAAACATAAGTTGTTATCGCGGCGGTGGCGATAGTCATTGCGGTGTTGACAGTTGCAGCCGTTGTTGTCATGATTGGTGTCTTTGTTTCCATGGCTTGTGGTGGTGCTGTTTATAGCTATGGCGGACTTTGTAGACATTTCGGCACTTTAGAAAAAAATGCGATTGTAGAAATAAAAGCATTCATTAGTGTAACAATACGAATTCATATAACTTGATTTTTTTTAAGAATAGCAATTGACCTATATCATCCTGGTAGGTCGTGTCCATTTAGAGATGAACTCATTCAACTCCGAGAGGAATCCGTGTATCAGATTCATTTATTGTCGAAAGGCAAAACCGTTTCAGGCGGCTTTCCGCTCGGTTTGCACTACTATCCCGATTTTTTGTCTGCATCGCGTGACTCCGACTCAGGGTATCTCCTGACTGGCAATTACTGTGATAGACATCAGACTAAGATGTTGTTCCGCACCCTAAAAAGTCAGTGAACGTAAAGAGCATTTTCAATTTTACATACATCCGAAGTACACATATCATTCAAAAATTTAAGTGAATCGGTTGGCAAACGAACGATTATCAGCAGGTCCATCTGTACATCAATCAATTGATAGACTATCCGAAAAAAAAAAACCCACTGCGATATATCATCCAGGTAAACTGGTACTGATATGGCCTACATTGTCACGCTATCAATCGACAGTGCTTGGATATTCACAGACGTACACACCTACCTACCTACCTACCTACCTACCTACCTACCTACCTACCTACCTGCCTGCCTACCTACCTACCTACATAAGTATACATACATATATACAGACACACTTCCTCTCGGTTACGTCAAGTCAGACACGAGAAATGTTTTCTTAATTTGTTATATTCGTAACAAATACAGAAAAAAATATGTTGTTATAAAATTGTCTACCTTTTTCATTAATATGGAAAGTTTTGCTTGTTTGTTCGTTTGAATGGTGTTTTATTATATGTTTACTTTATAGTTTGTTTTATATCCAATCATGCAAACAAACTACATTTTATGAATTGATACAGTAATCTTAACTTTCAGAATAATGTTTATCGACAAAAAAGTAACAAATATGTTTTAAAGAAAGAAATCGTTTGAATCTTTATTTCTTGGCCTATTAGGAAGATTGCAAGTGGTCATTTTCTTTAAAAACAAATACTAGAAATAAATGAGTTGATGTGAGTCTTGGGTAATCTTTAAAAGCATGCATAATTTATTTTTTAAAAAAATAATGAAATTATTTCTAAAGGTTTCATTGTTCCCTGTAAATTATTTTATGTTTAATGTCCTTGGTAATTTGCCAACTAAGTCTGGTTTAAACAAATAATATAACATTTCGTTCCTATTTTTCTTCTTTTTCCACCTCGAATCTTTTTATCTCTACTTTATTTTTTCCGGTTGCTAAGGTCACGTATCAGTTATCTTTCTATTAAGATGTCAAGACGATTTCTTTGTCTTTAGAGAAACCCGACTGATTGTAGCAGTCTCTTTGATCACGATGTGTTTGACATGGGCCCTGACTAAACTTTGAGCAAGCGATTACAAACCAGGTCACTGGAACTTCCCTCAATAACGGCGTTTATTCCTTCTGTCTCAAAGATCTATTAATGGATCTCGTCTTTTCATAAATGAAGGCCAATGTTGACGAAAACCATTAACCCAGGCAACAGAGGGTCCTGTAGACACCGATCCCTTATATTGGGGTGTCGATCTGTAAGGGGACTAACAATTAGGGCCCATATCAGCTACGCAGCACTGAAACAGACATCGCCTTTGAAAAGCGATGAACAGTTGAGAGAAATATCCCCTTTAAAAGCCAACTAATTGGAACAACTGGATAAGTTGTGGGATACATATTCAATAGGTTTGAACATCAATCATCAGTTAAAAATCTGTTTTCGGTCGTGGGAGAATAAAGAATTAAACGATTTGTTTGTCAATGTGAGTACAGTTAGATGTCATCTAGTGCTTATGTTCCTAAAGAAATGTCTTTCTCCTCGTGGAGAGAGAGAGAGAGAGAGAGAGAGAGAGAGAGAGAGAGAGAGAGAGAGAGAGAGAGAGAGAGAGAGAGAGAGAGAGAGAGAGAGAGAGAAGTGGTGGTGATGGTGGTGTTTTGAAGGCATTATAATATAAGTAGTCATGTGGGGAACCTGATCTTATTTTACGACACAACTCGTACCTGCATCATCTCGGTTGCTAGTCCTGCACATTGATCACTTAGTCTCATTGCCTTTTGTCGCCTTTTTTCACATGCTGGATGTTGTATCGAGCCTTATCTATATCGCAGAGGAAAGGTTGAGACTATCCGACACTCCAACACTTTCCGGAACTATTATCGCACTTTTATTTTAGTTGGAAGTATTGCAAACTATAATAATGCTTGTCAACATATACTAATATTTTCGTCAAGAAGACTAAAGATATTCAAAATATTAGATATAAATGTTAAGAAAGAAACCAAATTTACACACACAAACAAGCAGCACAAAATGAAAACAATAGTGCATCGATGGATGGATGAATGAATGCATATGTGTCTACTGGCTGACGTGTATGTATGTATGTATGTATGTATGTATGTATGTATGTATGTATGTATGTATGTATGTATGTATGTATGTATGTATGTATGTATGTATGTATGTATGCATGCATGCATGCATGCATGCATGCATGCATGCATGCATGCATGCATGCATGCATGCATGCATGTATGTATGTATGTATGTATGTATGTATGTATGTATGTATGTATGCATGCATGAATGTATGTATGTATGTATGTATGTATGTATGTATGTATGTATGTATGTATGTATGTATGTATGTATGTATGTATGTATGTATGTATGTATGTATGTATGTATGTATGTATGTATGCATGCATGCATGCATGTTTGTATGTGTATGTATGTATGTATGTATGTATGTATGTATGTATGTATGTATGTATGTATGTATGTATGTATGTATGTATGTATGTATGTATGTATGTATGTATGTATGTATGCATGCATGAATGTATGTATGTATGTATGTATGTATGTATGTATGTATGTATGTATGTATGTATGTATGTATGTATGTATGTATGTATGTATGTATGTATGTATGTATGTATGTATGTATGTATGTATGTATGTATGTATGTATGTATGTATGCATGCATGCATGCATGTTTGTATGTGTATGTATGTATGTATGTATGTATGTATGTATGTATGTATGTATGTATGTATGTATGTATGTATGTATGTAT